TGAACTCAGAGCCAAGATGAACCTTTGGCTGGGTCATCTCAGCCTCATTTCACCCTCAGTGCAGGAAACCTTTGTTAAAGTTCAAACAGACCTGACTTACAGGTGTATCTCACTCTGCCTTGCTGCTGGCTTTGTAAAGAATCTATTCTGGAAAATCCTAGAGCACATTTCTCTCTCTTTGTACCTCTCCTTGTTGCCTTGTGTCAAGTATTGAGAACAAGATGATTTCAATTTAAGGCTTAGCTACTTTTAGGTCTTTTATTCTGTGGTTGTCTGGGGGACAGGATTGGTCAGTGATTGGTGTTCAGAGGTGGAAATGGGTGTCACTTTGATGATCTTGCCTGCAGTCTAAGCAACTGTTGGTCCTGTATTTCTCCCCTGTACGAAGTGTGTGATGTTCCCCTGTCTCACTGGAGTGATATGAAACCAGTTGTCGAGGCAAGAATGAATGAGAGTTTCTGCAGGTGCTCAGTAATTGCCTCATGACCAGAAAGCTCCTGGAGGAGAAACTCTGCCTTTAAAACTTCTTTACCTCCTAACTATAACACTCTGTGGCTTTCCAGAGCTATTTTTCGCACAACCCTAATCATTTAACTACTGTGCTTTAAACCTCAGAACAGATCTCTACTTGTGCAGGTCTGAGAGCTTGACTTGGTACTCCTTAACTTCAGAGTAAGTACTTTCATCCAGTCCCTCCAGGCTGAGCTTCTAGGCCCAGTGCCCACCAATTTGTTCCCTAATGATCCTGCCAGCTCGAGGCTGTGAGGAGCAAGTGTTGGTGAGCCATGTGTGGAAGGCAGAGAGCTCAGCAGGCAGGAATTCCTGGAGCAGCAGCAGGAGGAGAGGGGCATGACAGGAAGAGGAGGTTGATACTTGGCTGAAGAGCCCATCACAAATAGTGCAAGAATAGCAGTTCTCCCTCCTGGCTCCAGATTCCCTTATCTGGGAGGGCTGAGCGGTGGAGCCTGTCGACACCTCTGCCTCACACCCTGCTCCACTCTCAGCCTCCTGCAGATACAGAGTGGCTTGAACAAGTTCCAGTGCTCCCTCCCAGAGCTTCCCAGGGCCCTGCCACCCAGCACCACTGGGTGACACCACTGCCAACACCAGCCAGGCGCTTCCTGTGTCACATTCCCCACTGGAGAGCCTCTTGCCAAATCCTCATCGTCTGACACAGTCTTTTTAGGAACAAACGAGCTAATTTTAACCTGAATGCCACAAACACCTTCCTGAAATAGATTCTGACTCTCTCCTGCCTTGTGCATGTTCTTGAGAATTTAAAAACAAAGTCCTCAGGGTTCACAGCTAAGCCCTGTCAGCCCCAGGAGGGAGCAGAGCCTGTCAAAACCCAACAGAGCTCCCTGGGAGGAGCAGGTACCTCCACTGGAAAGTGCTGTCACTTAGACCCATACTGAGCTGTGCAAGGACAGGAATGTTCCATAGAGACAGACACTCAGGTGATGCACATCACAAAGTTGTATGGTCCAATCTGGATGAGTTGTGCTGTATTTCAAGGACTTTGCAATAGGAAGAATGTGTTTTCTAGACTGGCTGCAGCCAGATATGGCACTGAAAAATAGAGTGGATGGGCTTAGTGTCCTCTGTGGTTTGCCTAGGGCAATTGCTCTAATCACCATCCTTTCTTTTTGGGGTCTAACTAGATGAGCACTGGCCTAGGAGCCAACAAAGTGGTTCTGATGCCACAGCAAAGTCAGTTTGTGTCTGGCTGTGCTGTCTTTGAAGGGCATGTGCAGCAGTGACCTGCTCCAAGAACAACTGAAAAGCACATACAGAAGAAATAGGAATTATTGTGAGATGAGGACAAAGAGCACAAATTCCACAAAACCACGGGGGTTTTATGCTCCTGCCTTTTGCTGTTTCCATGAATGTGAATACGTGAGCTCTTGCACTGAAAGATCAATGTGAGCCTGAACTGCTGCTTTTAATTAGCAGAGTGTAAAAAGCTGTGTCATTAAAGAAGTGTCTGAAGAGGAAAGGAAAAAAAAACGTTTCCAGGCAGCTGTTGTCTTTATGTTGCTCTCTTGGGAGTGACACACACATCCCTGATGTTCCTTTAGCCCTGCTAATTAAGCAGCTCCTTGTACCTGCAGGTCAGTGGCTCAGCTAATGGACTCCCTGCAGTTTCCAATAAACAGCAAAAGGCAAAAGGCCCTTGGGGATCTAAGCAGATCCTGACTTGTCTGTCCTTGGGGCCTTTTCTGAGCAGAACTGCAAGAAGGCACATGAGACAAAGAAGAGGCTGATAGCCCAGGGTTTGCCAGGGTCACTGTGTATGTGGCACAGGCTCTGCAGGGTGGGAGGCTGTTAGCCAGAGGAGCTGCTCAGCTTGCCACCGTCCAGCTGAGCACTGGGAATACTGCTGGCTCACATAAGGGGAGTGCAAAGAGGTTGGTGTTACTGACACTCTGGCACCTGGTTCCAGCTGGGCTTTGATGGATGAGAACAAAAGTGGCAGCAGGGCTTTGTGTGCAGAGCTGGGAGCACACAGTGAGAAGACAGAAGGGATTTGGGGGACAGGACTTCTCCATTCTGGGTGAGCACCTGAATTATCCCAGCTCCTGCACAGGTTGGCACAGCATTTGCTCTCTTCTCTGGCAGAGTCATCCAGGACCTTCGAACAGTCACTTTGAAGTCAAATTGATTGGTTTCAATGAACTAGTTTGGTTTCCAGGTTCCCACCTCATCCCATTTTGACACATATTTAATAATAAACTCCTTAAGACCCTGAGAAACAGCACAGAGCCCACAGATTAGGTAACTCACTGGTTACCTAACTAGTCAGTGAACAAGTTGAACTGCTCAGTGAACAAGTTGTTAGCCAAGTCAAGGGCTTGGCCTTGACTTTTTGGCTTCCATTTCTGCATCTAGGACATAGAGATGATCCCAGCTGGCCTGGAATATGTGAGAATGGGGAACAGTCATTGCCAGAGTGGGGCTGGGAATCAGAACCAGCTAAAAGTTGAAAATTACTCCAGAATATATGCTGTTTTCTATTCCATTTTGCTTCTGTCTCCTTTTCCCTGCTCCCTGATTTCATGTTCCCACCAATGCCTTGTCCTCAAAGACTTGTTCTGCCCTTCTATGTCCTTCTGCATCTCAAGAGGAAGACGCTGGGGCAGCTCAGTGTCATTCCCTTCTCGCCTTTTCCCGAGTGTTTTCCCAAGTTCTCCCTGCCCGAAGGATCGGGAAGGGTTGGAATTCTGCAGGTTCGGGCAGACATGTGGCGCCACCTCGTGGCCACTCTGGGAACTGCTGCTGGGAGAATCCAGCTGTGCTTCTTCGTCCACATCTGCCCAAGGACCAGGACAGTTTGTTTTCCAAGCTTTGCCTTTGTCACTCAGCAGTATGACCAGTGCAGGATGGCTAAAATAACCCCATCTGACTCTATGGAAATGAGGTGTAGCCGTTAAGTGGTGCTGGGGAAATCTATGGGGAAACTGACTGTGTTAGAGCAAACTGGAAACTGCTTTTATCCCTGCAAGATTTGCCTAGTCCAATGTATAGGTCTGTGCCTTTCACTAGCTTGGAATCCACTACCCTTTCATAAGCTTTTGTCTGATCCAGAGCTAGAAAATCAGTCCAGAAAATGTTTCATGGTGCCACAGTCAATCTCAGAGTTAGGCCAACCAACCTGGTACAGCCCCAGACTCCATCCAGTCCAAGGTTACTTGTATGTTAGGCATAGATAACACAAAAATGTTTGGAAACTGTCACCATATCAAAGCATCAGCCACATGCATAGAAAAGCAGCTCATCCTCCTTCCCTGAGGAAGGGAGAGGGACAGCCCCAAGCTGAACCAAAGCATGTTTTGTTAATGAACACTAATTGCCATCTATCAAGCACACAGGGCCATTTTCTACTATTCTCTAAATTAAAAATCCACAGCAAAGCCTCTGAAGAGATGAAGATCAGAACAGGCTCAATTTTCCATGCAAATAAGTTGCCTCTGATCTTGGCCCAGGATTTTCATAACAAGCAGAGGCAGCAGGGGCTGCTGAGTCTCTGAGCTGCCCCGTGGTCCCCAGCTGTCCTCTCCCCATGGCCTTCCTTTCATGCCTGCTTGTGGAGGGATCTGTGCACCTGAGGCACTTTCCTTCACTGACTTGAAAGTTGTGCCTTTTCAACCACATTTATTTCTGTCTCCCTTTTCCTGGCTTTTTCTTACACATTTGATCCCACTTGGTGGGTGCTGACAGGAACCAGATGAAAAGATTCCAACCTTTCAGTGTCAATTTTGGGCATCAACCTGGAATAATATATGTGGGTTTGAGTCCATGGGACTGTGTTTGTTTAACTCTGTGTGATTTCACCTGTGCAGCTTCCACACAGCTCCAGGAATACTGTGTTCAAGCATTTTAAAACACACCACATCACCATCCCCCTGGATTTGAGACTGACTTTAGAGAGAGGGTTTTTTTGAAGTGTTTGATTTGTATTCCTCATGGTTTTCTGTGATGCAACTTGATGTAATGATTTTCTTTTCTTTGCTGTGAAAGTATTGCAGCAAGTTCCTAGCTGCCTTAATGGAAAAATCTGAACCATGTTCTTGCAGATAGCTTGGAAATTAAATGGTATTTATTGCCTTTATTATATAATTAATTATTCTCATTTCATTTGTATCTCCAAAACAATGATCAAAACCTTATTAACTTCTCTTTCATCAGGGTTTTGCTATTCCATCTCTTGCTCTCTACAGTTGTGCTTTGCAATAGTTCACTGGAGAGCTGTACAGGACAGCTTGAAAATAGCTCCCACAGGGTCTGAAAGGGTTTTGATGGATAGATTCTGTGTCACCTACAAACATAAATCTAGAAGAGCTTTACTGAACTGAAAGGAGTCACACTGTACAGATTTTACCTACCAGTTGTCCTTCTGATGGAACTCCACCTGCACTTTTGTGCCTTCTCCTTGTTCAGAGACACCTTCCTAAGCCTCTGTTAGTGTTTTAGGTTCCCACGTAACATACTAGTTAAAAATGTCAGTGTGGCTAGGAACAAAAAGAGAATGTTATTTAAAAGAGCAGTGTGTGCCTGGGGCAGCCCAATCACTTCTCATCCTGTCACATCTCAGCTACAAAGCCTGGGAGAAGCTCATTTTTCCATGTTGCTTTAATACCAGGTGCCCTGTGTTCTGAGTTGGCACCTTCCCCCAAAGCAGGTGAGCCCAGAGTAGGAAGGTTCTCCTGGAGGCTCTGCTGGGAAATGTGGTGAAATCCATTCCTCTGCTTCTGGCTCTCCCCGTGGGTGATGCTCTCAGGGCTCCAGGTTGGTCTGGAATTCCTCTGGGTGTGAGCATCTGAGCTCAGCTCATCCCAGGACATGGCAGGGCTCTGTGCAGCTCCCACACTAAGCTGTTGGCAGAGAGTAACACCCATTAGAGCTGTACTTGCACACAGCAGAGCCTTCTGCTTCCAAAGGTCCAAGTTCCACATGCCCCAGCCCTTAGGGAATGGCTCATTGTCTAGGAAGTCTCACCCTGCCAAATGTTCACCTCCTTACTTGTTGGACAGATCCTTGGCTCCTTTCCATCTTCTTTTTCTTGGAGATTTCTGGGTTCCAGTGACACACCAGGCTGTCATTTTGGACACTGTAGTTCTTATTACCAAGAAGCCAATAGGTTTTCATTTTCCCTTTGCCCTGGGAGAAGAAAGAGGAGAGCAGAAAACAACTGTTTTCATGGGATGTGAAGCAGAGCAGAGAATCACTATGGCCATACTCAGGTGGTTCCACACAGGTACAGACACAGTAGATGGATTTCAAAGTACACAGTAACACTTTTCCATCAATTATAAGGAGTAATGTGTAGCCACTTCCAACTGAATTAGCAAAACCTTGGGGACATGGTTAAAAGTTGACTTGCAATTCACAGAAGAGCAATGACCAAATCTATCATAGAATCATAGAATCAACCAAGTTGAAAGAGACCTCAAAGATCACCAAGTCCAACCCTACCATCATTACTAGACCATGGCACTATCATCTCCTTCCTACCCATTCAAGGCCTTTGCTATTGCAAAGTTACAGAAAAACTTACCTTGACCTCTATTTCTCCTCTCAGTTCAATTTCATATGCATCATCTGTGAGAAGAGCTTCATATGTAGCAGAACTGATGTGGATCTTCTGTGCTAAGATTCAGAACAGAGCAGAAATGAGTGATTCCCCTAATTCCAGAGACCATGCACAACCCTCTATAATAAATACCATTTATTATTTATCTACCTCCTCTTTTGGCACAAGGGATGTGGCTCTACCTACCCATGGGAGTCCACAGGAGTTTCTCTTGCTGATTTGATAACTTGTGTATGTACAGGGGTAGTGGGAACAGGATATCCTGCACTTGATGGTTCTTTGGATGGATGGAAACGAGTTCTCTGGCCTGGGATATTCCCAGAAAATGCTCCTTCTCCTGTACAGCCCTTATTTTAGGCTTGGCTGTGGCAGTGTGAGAGAGTGTTGGGGGTTTTCCTTTCACTGCAGGAGTAGGAGATGCTGAGCAGAGGTGTGAGCCTGAGTGGTGGGGAAGGGGCAGGAATTGTGCCTGTGGTACTTACGCAGGCTGGTGGACTCCATGCGAGAGGCTGTGTTCACTGTGTCCCCAAACAGGCAGTAACGAGGCATTTTGTACCCCACAACTCCAGCCACACAGGGCCCTGGGAAAGCACAAGGCAGGGAGAAGTGGAAAAAGTGCAGGGGGATGACCCATACAAAACAAACACCTTTGCTAGTCACTCTGGATGCTCAGAGAGACATGGGAATTGGGATTACTCAGTACACGTAGGGCCTTGGCTGCACAGCATTCACTTAAGGAGAGAAGTCATTATTTGATTAGCTGTAGCTAATTGGTGTTGATATCAGGAAGATGCACTTTGACTATACTAAGTTGCTCCCCATCCCTTTCCACACTGATGCAGGCAAAAGTCATTTTGTCTCACTGTTCCTGCTGGAAGCAGGAGAAATACCCATCCTGAGGACGTGGGGAAATGAACAATTCCTTTCTCCTCACACAACTGGACTGTGTCCTACCCTCTTTTTGTCCTGCCTTCCCCTCAGCCCACGTACCTGTGTGTATCCCAGCCCTGAGCTGCAGCTTGCCCGTTGGCATGTGAGGGATCCCAACTTGTCGCACCGCTGCCACCAGATCCAGGGACATTTTGGCAATCTCATCGGCATGTTTGGTGCCATTCCTCTCTGGCAGGCCACTCACTACCATGTAGGCATCACCAATGGTCTCCACCTGATGGGAAGGGGAATGTGTCACTAAGTGGGGGACACTGAGCTTCCCTTCCAAAGGGAGAGCAGAGTAAAATCTCTCTCGGCTTTTCAGCACTCGCCAAGCTGTGGTGTCATCCCTGTCTTGGATTTCATGGATTTTGGTCAGCTGGCCTGGAGTGTTTGATATTCACCAGGGAACAGGGTAAGAAAGGTTTCAGCAGCTCACAAATTCCTCGTCTGTGGGTTTGCACTCACCTTGTACACGTCGTAGGACTCAATCCTGGTGTCAAAGCAGACATAGAGATTGTTGAGCATCTCAACCACTTGCAAGGGAGTACAGGAGGCAGCAATGCTTGTGAACCCCACGATGTCTGAGAAGAAGATAGTGACCTGTCACAGGGAGAAGCAAAGTGTGAGGCCAAGCTCTCCAGGTGGCAGTGGCACAGCCTTTGAAGAGTGAAATCCAGAGCAGAACAGCCCAAGGCACAGACTGCACAGCTCAATGGACACAATCCTAAACAAACAACCTCTGGATATGAGTTCTTTGCTACTTTGACAGATACCATTATCCTTATCTCCAAAATTTATCCCCTGCACTTTTGTGACTACCTCATGCTAGGTGGGAGACTGAAAGTCAAATGCTTTGCATCTCATGAGCAGTGATCAACACAGTGATCTTACAGAAGCAGGGCCTGATTTTGCTTTTAAACTGATTTAAACAGTGATAGGCATCAAAACTAGATGCCCTAACACACTGAAATAACAACCTAACTGCTGTCTCTGATGAATTAGGAAATGCTAACTGGGTTTTGTTCTCTTCAAATGGTGTTTGTTATGATCAAGCAATTTGCAGAGAAATTCGCTTCTCAAAAAAAAAATCTGATTTATAAAAGAAAGATCAAAAGAAACTGTAATCAGTGAATTGAGGAAGGGAAATGTGTCTTAGAGCTGTTGGCAAAGAATGAAGTGTTTCTCCTCTGTGCTGCCTGAGCTGTGTCAGTGTTTAAACTCCAATCAGCCTTGCTAATACCAATTAATCCAGAAGAACCATCTTTTCACTCCCTGCCTTGCTTCAGCTACTTTTGATGTCATGACTATTGTGGATCATAATTAATTGTGCAATTACAGGTTGTTGTGTCGATAACGACACCTCCAGATTAAATGCAAACATTTCTCATTGTGTTTCACAGCTGAAAGTAACAGAGTGCGTGTGAGAAAAGAGAATTGAATCGCTGTAGCGTGAGGATTTGGGCTGTGCAGCACAGCTGCTAAATTCAGCTTTGACAGCAGTAATCTCTTCTGATTCTGCCCATTTTACAAGGAGGAAACTCAGTTTTTGCTCCTATGTTCTGGTCACCCTATGGTTCTGGTTGGCTCCTGTGGGTTGGCTCTTCAAGCCAAAGAAGACAACTTGCCAGCATAGGATCTTTGACATCTAAAGCTGCACTTCTAGAGGTTTCAGCTCTTCTTCCTTCCCCATCAGCCCAATTGCTTCACTGCACATTGCACAGCTCTTTCTAAAACCCATCAGGATTTCCACACTCAGCTGTGGGTGCACAACTAGGTCCCTCAACACAAGGTAAGTGCTGTTTTAGCTGAGTCCTTTTCTACCCTTGGGGATATCATCCTCTCCATTTACTAACCTGATCATAGTTTTCTGCCTCAACCTTTTGGCATTTCCTTAGCTGCTTGGCCACAGATTTTGGCAACATCTGGTGTAAGAGGTCCTCAGCTATTTGCCTCTCCCTTTTCAAGTCCTCTGTCTTTGCCTTGAGGTTCCTGGCATAGTTGTGAATCCAGTCTGTCATTTGCTTGAAGGACACCAAGACGATGGGGTAGATGAGACAAGCTACCACTAACAGGCTAATTTTAAGGCTCATTGTGGACAGCTTCTCTTTAGATCTCTTGAGGAGCTTCTCCTGCCCCTCCTGCAGCAGGCAGCTCTGTGCATAGTGCAGCCCTGTCACCAGGGATTCCAGGGACACAGAGTCCTCTGAGCCCAGGAATGGGATGACAAAAGAGATCCCTTGGGTGAAATCAAGTGATAGATTGACATTATCCATCCAGCACTTATGTGCAGTCTCTGAGGAGAGGATGGCATAGTTCAGAATGGCAAAAAAGTGATGTAATGTTTTTTGAAAGCTCAGAGATGCTGGCAGGGAATGAGCTCTGAGCACAGCTTCTCTTATTTGGAGGATGAGTCTAAAAGCTGCAACGTCTGCCCAGTCAGGATTGTTTCTCATAGCTTGGAGGTCTTCATGGGGACTCCCAAAACGCTGCAGCAGTTGGGAGATCACCCTGGATAGCACCTCCCTGGTGTCCCCTGAGATATTCAATTTGTGCCTGATGTCAGAGATGTAAAAGCTACAAATGGAGCTTTTCTCCTCCTTGCACTGGCAGTTCTCACAGTTCAGTTCTGCTTCCCTTGCTGTGCAGAGGGAGCTTAAATTCCCTAAGAGCTGAGCATGAAATGATCTGTTCCTCGTGTCTGCTGCTGGGAAGAGCCAGCTGTGCCTTTCTTCCTGCAGGAGAGTGATGAGATGAGCAGCCCAAAGGTTTTCACAGGAGGCAAATTCCTGAAGGGCTTTCCCTGTGTTTCTCCACATTTCCAAGCTGTTGCTCAAATCAGAGGAGAAGGCTCCAAGGAGGCTGCAGAGGGACACAGTGCATGCTGCCAAGATCCTCTGAACTACTCTCTTACCACCAGCACTGGAGGAGGGAAAACATCTGAAATAATGACAAAAATAAGGATAACAATAGCCAGCACCACCACCCACCACCGTGGGGTTGTCTGAGCCCCAAGGGTGTTTGTTGCAGCTCCTGAAAAACATAGCTGGAGCTGGCAGAGCTATATAACAACTCCCAGCTATTCTGAAACAAATTGCAGCAGCTGAATGCTTTGGAAAGATGTTTTATTCTATTTAGTTCCACCTGACACTGATTGTTTGATAAAGGAAAAGATCTAGTAAACAGTTTTTTCTTGACACTCTCTGAGCTGCAAAAACACATGAGTATATATCCATGGTATGTTAGACCATTTTTCTGTTGAGTATTAAGACTGATAAAGACATTTGCTGTAGGTTTTATTCTCCTTTTCATAGTCTCATAATCTTCTATCCAAATCCTAAGGAAGGTCATGAAAAGATGAGTTACTTATTCCAATGATCACAAACCAGAACGGTTCAATTTTTTTATTCAAACTTTAGAATTTGGTTTAAATAGGCATTTCCAGATGATGAATAATTTCTGTTGATTCATTCAAATGAGCTCAGTTGTTTTCACAATATTGGCCAAATATTTCAGAAGGGAAATGAATCAAATTTGTTTGGTTTCAGTTTTTCCTGAAGCATCTGCACATCCAATTTTTACTATTTGAGCTTCACCATTACCTTTCACACTGCACAGAATTGTCATCTGTTCTCCAGACAGCAAAATAACCTCTAATAATTTTAATTTCCAGAACTATTAATCAATCATTTACAATCTCACAGGAAAACAACTCAGGATGTGATGCTGAAGATGGAAAAACCTGAATACTTGGGAAATCTTTATTTACATCGATAGAGAACAAACCTCTGCATGGAAGAGGTGATTGAAAAATCTCTTCTAGGATCCCTGTTCTTTCAGAGAGAGGAAATCACATTTTTAGGAAGGTAAATAAGCCCCCAATAAAGTCTGTTATTTCTCAGCAGAGGCTGCTGTTAGGCAAAACAAGTTCCTCCTGTGCTCTCTGCAGCAGAATGGTGGTCAGGGGGTGTAAAGCAGAAGCAAATTTATTAAACTACAGCCCCAAAAGATGATAAACAGAAGTATTTATCCTATTAATTTACTACAGTATATCTTTAATAATATATATACTTCTATTTTCAGTCCAAAAGTAACAACAGCAAAAAGTCTGACTGAAAAATAAAAACATGAAAAATGTGTCTCTGAGCATTTCTATTCTCACAATGAACTCTCAATCTTTTCCTTACTCTATTTACTCCTTACCTTTGGGTCACTTCCTTTCTATTTTTAATCAGTGGTTTTACTCTTGGAAACACCTAAATATGTGCCAGGGGTGGAAGAATAAAAAAATCCACCTTAATTTTATACCTCCTAATTTTCCTTACGATGAAAGAGATATAAAAAATGGCTTTAATTTGGTACCAGGCAAAAAAGTGATGATTCTCCTTGTGCTTTGTAAAAAAACCAAAACAACCAAAACAATCTTTATGCCTGTGTGGCAGCCAACAGAGACCATTCCAAGCTCTTCACCTGACTGAAAAACAAGCTACAGGATGATGGAGGAGACAGTTCTGCACGCACTGCTGGATCCCACCCTTCCCCTCACTGGGTCCCAAGGTCCCAGGGGTTAAAATTTCTCTATTAAAACATTTGGAATCACTCCCACACTCACCTGCATGGACCTGCTGCCACCTGAGCTGCTTTTCTGCTGGGCATTGCCACTGCTCACCCTGCTGAGTCCTCTCCCAGCCTGTGTGCTGCCTCCAGCCCTGCAGAGCATCACCCCCCTGAACCCTCCAGCTCTGCCCACAGCACAGCACAGTGGGCTCACACCTTCCCCCAGGGGAGCAAGCTCCAGCCCAAGGCAGGGGACAGCAGTGAAAGATCTCCAGCATCACCCTCAAATACAAGCTCTGCTCTTGCCAAAGCACAGGAAGGAGTGACAGGGATACATGTTTTGTTTTCATCTTGCCAAATGTACTGTTTATTGCAGTATTGTTGGGTGTAACACTTGTGATGTTAAAAGCATCATTTCTCAGTCCTTTGTGATCAAAGGTGTCATGATTATGACTTTATTCAAGCTGTTTTCCTTCTTGACATCTCTCCTTCAGTTCTCTTTGGATTAGTTGGTTGCCATAACCTACAAAACACATAAAAAAAGTGAAACTTCAAATCACAAGACACAGGAATTGGTGAGTAGTAAATGTAGCATCCAAGATGAAGGATTATAACAACGGAAATAAGGTTTTTGCTCCTCAAAGTTCACACTGAAGTGAAAAATATTGATGTTGCAGATTTGAGCAGCATGTGCTGCTTTGTAGGCTGCAATTGCAACAATCAGTGGATTGATAAATGGAAATTGGAATCACTAAGATCTTCATGACTACAAACAAAGCTCTAGGATAACAGGAGAATTCCTTCCTAAATACCATGACTATTTAAAAAGTGAAAACATCTGGGATAACTATTTAAGAAGAGGATATTTTTGACTGGGAATGGCTGTAAGAGTGATACAGGTCCCTGAGCAGGTGGCAGAAACCAGAGAAGCTCAGCAAAGCCAAATGTGTGTATCCTCCAGCTGTTGACACCTGGACCTCACCTCCTGGATCCAGCTGTTGTAAGCAGAGACCCGAGTGAAGACAGAAGGTTTGTGGTAGTAGTTGCAGCCAAGGGAAGAGCCAAAGCTGACGATGCCGTGAACTTCCCACCTGCCATCAGCACCTTGGCAGTTCAGTGGGCCACCAGAGTCCCCCTGGGAGGAAAGGGAACACAGTTAATGGCAATCACAGCATGAACAGCTCCTCTGAGGGGCTTTTTTAAGCTTTCCTCCCCATCAGGCCTGTTTGTGTCTGAACCCAAGCCCTAAGAGTGGTGTTCTCTGGACTCACGTTGCAACTGGAGATGATTCCATCCCCACCAGCACAAACCATGGTGGATTTCACAGTCTTTCCCCACCAGGTAGGCTGGGAACAGGTGGCATAATCCACCACCAGCAGAAGGCCTTGCTGCAGGATGTCAGGAAGAGGTCCATTTGCTGGGAGGGAACAGAAACAGAGGACTCTTGGGACCACAAGGCACCAACAGAAGGACAAAACTGCACTGTTAAGTTTCCCCTGGGATCTGGGTACCATCCCTGCAGGTAAGTCACTCCACAGGGGCTGTATTAAAGGAGAAGCTGTATAATCCATTCCTCACCTCCACCTTTTTATAAAGGGGAAAAAAAAAAAGGCCTTAATTTACTAAAAATTAGCATTCTATTCAAGAATAATCTCATTGTTAGAGAAAGAAAGGGCTGCTCTTTGTTCAGGAGTCTGCAATTTACTGATCCCTCTAGGAATTGCCTCTTGAGCTGAGCTGACACTTCTGCTGAAGTCTCTGACTAGTCACATCGAGTCCCTTATGACTTTTCAGTCATTCAGCAGGTGTGTTGGGATTAGCAAATGTACCTGTCTGCTCACTTAACATATGAGTTACAACAGCTCCTAAAAGCTCAGTAAAGGCCCCTGTGGTGCACTACCAGCATTGTGACAAGCCAAATAAACCTGAAAGGCAGGGAAAAATCATTTTGTGTGAGTGAAGTGAGCTCTGATAGAATAAACTACATCACTACACTGAGTTTGAAGGGATCTTGAGCACCACCAATAGGTTTTTTTTTTCCAATCTGTCTCAAAGGGGAAGGAAGGACCAAAAAGATTTTGTGTTCCACAAGTCTGCAAATGTCCAAGTACTCACTCTGCAGTCTCCCCCAGCCTGTCACGTAGCAGGCAGTGTTGGAGGACAGGATGCTTTGGGCAGGGGGCAGGCAGCCTGGCTGGATCTGCTTACTCAAGGCCACGTGCTTAGAGAGCTTGATGAGAGCAATGTCATACCTGTGGTCACAGATTTGAGAGTGGGAGAGAGAAAGGGAAGAGGCAAAGAGGTTTGCAAATGGATTGAGACATGAATGCTGAGCTGTTACACAGCACTTGGCCTACTCAAAAGAGGTGCAAGGAGATTAAAGTGCATAAACAGTAATGATTCCTCCATCCCCAAAGCAATGGGGAAATCCAGGGACTGGGAGGCTATTCCCTGCAGAATGTGCATTTTCCTGCTGGCAGGAAATTGTCTTTTATAGGTTTTTTTTCCACCAAACCCAAGCATGTGTTAGGACTAACTCAAGCACTTGGAACTAGGGAATTTTGTTACTCATGCCCTTGGCCTGCAGCAGGACATGGGGATTCTTCAGTCACACAGATAATAGAGTCACTGATCAATGATCCACACTGTGTCTGTGCTGTTTTTGGAGGGATCCAAAGAGTGTCGTATAAAATACTTCATTCCCCTCCACGTACAAAATAAACCATTGCACAGAACATCTTCCCACCCCAAAATGTCAGCTGGAAACACAAGTAATCATATTCTCTTGAGGGGGAAGGTACAAATTAGAGGCTCAGCTCTCATCTGAGAGCAAAGCTGTAGAAACACCACTGTAAGCTGTAACAGGAGGCTCTGAGTGTTCCTGCATTGAGCTGTCACAGCTCTGGGTGAGCTTCAGGCAGCTTAGGTTTTGTCCTGCATCTAAAAACTGTGGAACACCTACCACCAACTTACCCATTGGCAACATTCTGTGGATCCCACTTCTCATGGACAACGATTTTTTCTGGAGAAAGTGCAACTGATCCTTTCTCCTCCTCTGCGAGGTTGTATTTCCCAAGAAACACTCGATAGGTTAGGGAAGAACTGGGCAAGAAAAGGATCAACACTCAGTTATGCTGCTCAGGTATCTGCAGCTTTGCCACCTGAGAGGTTCACTACAAACATCCTTGACTGTAATCTCTCATCACAGGCATGATGTGTCTGGATTTGCTAAGGGCAAAGCTCTGTGTTCTAGGCTTAATAATCATTTCATCTCCAAGATGTCCTGTCAGCTCCTGCTTAAGGCTTCATGAACAAACCCAAGGTGCCTCCAGCCTGTGCAGGATTCATATTCTTTGATGCAGTAAACAGTTTGGGCTTTTTTGACAGCCATAAGTAGCTTCATTAACAAACAACTGTGTGATAGATATACCACAGAGTCATAGAACTGTGATCTGTCTATCACACAGTTGTTTATAGTGTATGTGTACACTAATATGTAGGTTTTGCAGTAATATGGATAATGATTTCTAGTGTATTTCTACATGTATATATAGGATTTATAGTCAGAACCTGCAGCTAACCCTTCATATTTCATATCAGGGTATTTACTACAACTTAGTGCTACGATAACCATAAGCTACTAAGGCAAAATGGGGTTGTCTTTGTGGAAACAGTTTTGCTGATGGAAGAACATAGCTGTACCTGATCATTTCTTTGCTGTTCTGCCCCATAGTGTAAGAGTTTACTGAAAATAACTGGTACATTCAAAACATTTGTGATTGGATTGATTAGGGAATCTGTGAATCTCAATGCCCTGTCATAGACACAGGCAGCACAGCTGAATTTTAACAGCAGCCTGAAAACATGGGGGTGTTTGTAGTTATTTATGGAAAATGAAGAGTATATAATTCAGGTAGCTATGAGGGATTTTTTCCCCTTTTATTTTAAGAAAATGAAAAGGTGTCAAACATCTTCTGACTTATTAGTAACGATGAAAAGATACGATGTGAAACTCAGAACTCTGGGAAAGGGAGAAGTGGCATTTGGGTGGTTTTTGCTGCATCATCTCACCTGCTCATGCACTGGGTGCAGGTTTGTGTGCCTGACTTACCTGATGCAGTGAGCAGCTGTCATCACCCAGTTGGTTGCAATGAGAGATCCTCCACAGGTGTGACGCCATTTGCCATTGGAGTTGTACTGAAGGGAGGCCTAGGATCGAGGCACCAAGTAAAGCTCAGATTTTTTTGCTTATTAACTTCTTATTGCTTCATTTTGCTCCTGCATGCAGCACACAACTTGCTGCTGGAAGATACTGGAAGGCTTTGAAGCAACAAACTTCCAACTCTTGGCCACAGAAAAGCTTTCCCTCCTTCCCTGTCATCCAAAAGCTTTTTTAAAGTTGCTTATTCCAAAGCTCTCACTAAGCCTGGCCCAGGCAGAACATTCCATTTGCTTCAGAAATGTATTGACTCCATGTACAACCATGCTCCGGTAGGCATGGATGCTATGCTGAATCCCACAGTCTTCCTGCTTAAATAGCCCCAATCTACTTGACTTGAAGCATGAAAGCCTGAAAA